AGGGCCGGTCACAGACTCTGGGCCAGTCACAGACTCTGGGCCGGTCACGGGCTCCGGGCCAGTTACAGACCCTGGGCCGGTCACGGGCTCCGGGCCGGTGCGGGCAGGGTCTCCGCTCACGGGCTGCTGCCGGCCCGGGCCCGTTAGAGGCTGCCGCCGGCCCTTGCCACGCCGTGCTTCTCGGCGAACCGCCTGTGGGAGAGAGCGCCCTCAGACACCACCGCCCCGGGACCGCCCGAATGTCCCCCGCGAGCCTGCCCGGGGAGGGGCCGCCAGAGAGAGGTGGCGACCCCGAGGGCCCGGGACCCGAAGGGGCAGGCAGTGGAGGTGACCCTCACACTGCAGTGCCCCAGGGCCGTGTGCTTCCCAGCTGCACCTTGGCTCCGGTTTCATTCCGAGCTCGCCTGGAGCCCATGGAAACAGGTGACAGTGGCCGGAGCTGCTCCAGGAGAGACACAGGGCAGATACTGTCCCCACTGGGGACAAGCCCGACGACGGAGCACAGACCAAGCAAGGCCTGCAAGGGGCTGCAGGGACCACCCACACCGGCCCCACCCACACCGGGCCCTGCTCCCCAGCAGGCCCCTGCCTGACTGTCAGGATGAGGTTTCCCAGTTAGGGTTTCTTGACAGGATGGTTCCCTCAGCACAGCCAGCCATTCAGTGCCCAACAAGTCCAGGCACACTTAACTTCCCCTCAAACTCATTCTCAGTTTTCTGTATCATTCTAAAACAACAACCAGTCACCAGAGCTGGCCACTTGTTCCAGGATTTGCCTCATCAAAATCCTGCACAGGTTGCTCCCTGTTCCCTCACACCTGAGTTAACTGTGCTGTCCATGGTGCCAAACAGGAATGTCCTGCCCACACCAAGGGTGCCAGGGCACCAGTGTGACCTCAGAAAAACCCAGTCCTACAGGGGATCCTGTCAGCCAGACATGAGTCACATCGAGGAGCCTAGTGAGGCTGGTTGTGCTCAGCTCTGTTCCTCAGTGCTTCTGGAAAACAGCTCCAACCCCTCAGCCCCCAAAACCAGAGGCCTGGCAGCAGTTATGAGCGCAGAGCACTTCCCAGGAATTACACGGGGCCGCACACTTGGAAAGGTGACAATCACCTGCCCCCCTCCCTCAGCCCTGGGTTGGGAACCACCTGGCTGGTACAGCCTGGGGCATCTCGGGTGCTGTTGGGGCCACGGCTTGGGGGCTTGGGCAGGGGGAGTCGTGAGGGCCCTGGCAGGGGAGCCCTGGGGTGCTCTCACCTCCTGGCATAGTCATACAAGGCTCGTTTCCGCTCCTGCAAGGACAGGTGACGCTCCACGGGGGACTTTGCAAACTGCTTTGTAGCCGTCTGGAAGAGAAAGCACAGGAGCCGTCAGGAGACAGACAAAGCAGGAGCCTCCTTGCCTCTGGAAGACCCTGGCACATCAGGCTCCATGCCCCTGGCCAGTCCTGAACACAAGCTACCAGATCAGGGAGATGCACAAGCCCACAGTACCTTGGCAGAAGGCGCAGCCACGGAGCCCTGGATGCCAGAAGCAGCTGCAGCCTGGGAGGTAGACAGGGTAGGCAGGTCAGTACCAGCCTCCTGACTCTCAGGGAAGAAGGAAACTCTCCCCTCCAGCAAGTTGGCAATCGTGGTGTCCACACAGTTGGTCTGGGCTGCAGGGACAAAGGGATCCCTTAGAGATCTGGATGCTCCATCCTGGCTGCCACTGTGCTCCAGTGCAACAGGGACAAGGTTTCTGCTTTCAGGTCCCACACACCATAGAAGGTCCCCCTGTGTCCCTGCTGACACCCCAGCACCACTCACCCAGGTCTGTCCTGATGACCTCCAGGGGCACGTGAGGCAGCACCTCCTTGACCTGCTGTGCCATGGCCACGACCTGCACGTCCTCAGGAGCACCTCCAGGCAGGTGGGGGGGCACCCTGGGCTGGGCTACCAGGCGCTGACTCGAGGCTGCAGGAGAAAGAAGGGGGCACAGGAGGGTGGCTAAAGGCCTGTCAGCTGCACCAGCCCTGCTTTAGTACAAACTGCTGTGATGTGAAAGCTGGACCCCCTGCCCACACCCAGGGAGCACCCCAACATTCCTGGTCCTCCTCTTCCTCCCACTCCACGCATGAGTCACTGAGAGCAGACAGAGGCTCCCACACAGGCAAGCCCAGGTGGCAGTTCCACAGCCAGGACACCCCCAGGACTCCACAGCCCCCCCGGACACCCACCTGGGGCAAAGGGCAGCCGTGACGTGTGCCGCAGCCTCTTCATGTGCTCCGTCCTGTCGGCGGCGGTGATCCGTGTGGATACCACACCCAGCTCCATGGCCAAGAGCTGCGGAATGCAGACAGGAGTCACACACACGGGGCACACAACACATACAGGATGCACAACACGCTGCCCAGGCAGCCCCCTGTGCCCGGGAGTGTGTCAGGGGCACAGGCTTGCATGGAGCTACAGCAAGGGCAATAGGGTTGGGAATTGATTTCTCCATGGCCTCGGGGATGCATTTCAGTGTGGCAGGGAGCACATGAAGGAGCAGGAGTTGCAGTATCATCCTGCCAAAACGGGCTGATGGGGAGATACGAGATCTTTGGTACAGGAGCTGTGAAGTACCCAGTACACACAGGAAGGGTGGAGAAACAATTTCTTTATTCGATTTGTGGCATCATGAAAGGGGAGTGGAAGGCGTGAAGTACATGGAGAGGGTCCTGATAACTGCGGAAAGGCTAAGTAGGGGGTGGCAAATAGGCCATGGAAAAATTGAGTACCTGTAAGGGGCAATAAATATGGGCTAGAGCTCCCATCACACAAACATATCCAGAAATGCCCTCTGCAACTCTGCCTGCCCTCTGCTCTCCTCTGTGCCCATCCTCAACTGCACCAGTCCTACAGCCCTCTCCCACATCACTCTCCTACCTCCTGAACTCGGAGCGCAAAGTCCTCGCTCGGCTCGTCCGCTCGCCTGGGGACAGACGGCATCCACCTGAGTGGGGACAACAGCACATGGATCCAGCCCCGCCAGAAGCAGCCCTTGGAGCCAGCCCCATGGGGAATGGCCCTTGGGGCCAGCACCTACTGGGAGCAGTTGTGCTGGGCACACCCCCAACTCCACACCCCATGCCCACCCCACACCTCTCCCCACCAGAGCATCAAACCCCAGCACCCACTCCCAAACCCAGGGCATGGCTCAGCTCAGGAGACAGAACTGGCTCACTGGAGCTCTGTTAGCTCTCACATGTAACATGTGAAGGATCTCCTACAGTTCCCAGAAGGGCCCCAGTGAGGAGCCACGGCCACTTACATGGGAGTAGAAAACAGGTCACCCAGACTCCTGGCAGACATAGCCAGGGAAAGCTACAGCACAAGGCTTTTCTTTGCTAAAATACCTCAACCCCTGCATTTGGCTCCCAGCCCCTTCCACTGCCTAGGAACCCTTATGACACCAGAGCTACTCAGCCAGACCAGGCTCTCCTGGGCCCAGGGTAGGGGTCTGGACGACTCCTGCACCACCCCCCTGGACCACCCCTGCAGCTCCTGAGGAATTGAAGGGACAGACAGGCACTGGAGGCTGGCGCTGCCTGAGGGAATCACCCCTGGAGTAAATCACTGCAAAGCAGCTTTAAAAATACACCTGGAAACTTGGACCTAAAAGCCTGGAGAGACAGACTCCTCTCCTTTCCCAACACAGCACAGGAGCCAGGAGCAGGTCCAGGAGCTGGACCTGGTCAGACTCAAATGGTGCCAACCACAGCCCTGCTGAGGCACCCAGGGAGGGTGCCATCAGCACAGACCAAGGGATCTCGTACTGCCACAGACACGTCAGGGCCCCGCCCAACCCCAGCCCTGCCCCAAACAGAAAAGAGAGACATAGTACCTTACTTGATATACTGTGAAGGGAACGAAGAAGGTCCAGAGCAGCTCCGTGATCCAGGAGGAGTCGGCCACGCTCTGGGGAAGAGAGCACAGTGAGATCCCACACACAGAACAGGAGCTGCCGGGAGCCAGGCAGGCAGCGAGTCATGGATATGTGGGCAAAGGTGGAGAACTGGGAAAGTTCTCCACACAGTGCACACAGGGCAAGCCCCAGGGCAGCTTCATCATTAGTCATCACCAGTTTTCACTGTTCACAGTCACCTTTTCCTTCCACTAAGACAGTAGCAAGGCTTTCTCTCAGTAACCCCACATTCCCTGCTAGACTGTGCCTTTAGAAAGCACCAAAAATGCCTGAAGACCTACTAACACTCCCTCAGAACCATGAACAATCCTTCCTCATCGTGGTGAGAACAGCTGCCGGTGATGTTCCAACTCCTGTAAGCTCTCTGAGGGAATAAGTGACAGAACAAAGGAAACAGCTTCAAGCTGTGTCAGGGGAGGTTTAGGTTGGATATTGGAAAAATTCCTCCTGGAAAGGGCTGCCCAGGGCAGTGGTGGAG